GAAATTAAGTGTTAACGAGCAGTTGGACAGAAGTACCTAATAAAGTGGCCGGTGAGTGTATATCTTTACTAAGTTAAAACTAAAAATATTTTAATATGAAAATTCTTCATTTAACATTCATGTGGATAAAAGTATAAAATATAAATAAACCAGATAAATGTGCTGCAAGTATTAAAAAAAAACCTAAGCAAAGATGACCTACATTAACTATATAATAATTCAAAGGTTCTCAAACTGGAGTCTGAGCTGTTTCTTGGAGGTCCTCAAAAATCTTCAATAAATTGTTCATTAGATTTTTTTAAATGCATATGTGGAACAATGCATTAGGAAAACAAACATAATTAAACCAAACCAAAGATAATATTCCTATGGCATTTAGAAAGTAAAATGACTGAACTATTTTTAAACAGCATGGGGTTTATAAGGGGGTCCCTGGAAAATTTTCACTCTTGCACAAGGGGTCCCCAGACCCGAAAGGTTTGAGAACCCCTGTAATAAATGAGCAGGTATCTGTCCACAAGATAAAGTATTTATAAAGAATATAACTGGTTGGAAAGAAATGTAGTTTTGTGGTAAAATCTGTTTCAAATCGATGAAATACAAAACCTGGATTGAAGCTGTTTAAAGTAAAACTTGGGGGGAAAAAACTGAAGTGGCCAATTATTTTAATTGCAAAATATTTGAGGTGAGATCTAAAAGTGAGAGGTGACTCAGGACTTATGCACAGATGTGTAAAATTCATTGATTCCCAGTTGATGTAAACTTTAATGAGCAGTTTGTTGGCTAATTAAAATAGGATACATGTAATTATCTTACTGTCAAGTCTTTTTATGTTATAATGAAGCAAGGATGCAAATTCTCTGCTCGTAAAAATCTAATTCTCACTGTAAGCATGTTAAATCCCTTAAGCATGTCTGGAGTTACACATAAACATTAAATCCATGTTTAAATGTTGCTTATAAAAACCTTCAGTATTTAAAGTGTCTTCTTGCATTGCGGCGCCTTCATATGGTCAAATTAAGGGAATAGTTACAAAAAGCTACTTGAACACCTTAATCTGAAGCCAAGACTCCTCCAGAGGAGCTGACCTCAAGTCTGAAGTTTAACAAAAACTTTTATAAAAAGGTATGTGAAATAAATTTACTGTGCAACAAGCTGCAATTTGTTCTTTGCTAACATCYAATATTTAAAYGTAGTTAATCATACAGATTAGAGAMRGAYTCAATAAACGAAAAACAGAATTGTCCCGATTTAATCTTAAGGTAAACATTTTAATCAAAAGATGATTTTACCATAGAGAATTTTAAAAGGCAGGATATGAAGATTCACACCATGACTCAGCTATTTTTCTTTTATAACAAACGTAAACTTACAGCAGAGATTTATTCTTTAACAAACTGAAGATTGGAGAGTTCTCTTTATGTTGTGTAAAAAGTTGATTTAAATACAGCGACTGTGACTGATTCTTATAATGAGCACAAGAAAAGAATCAGAAGAAATCATGAATGGAAGCAACCCAATGAGGACACACTAGTGCAACAAACTAAAACAAAATAAATTACTTTTGTGCAGTAAATGATTCCAGTTCCAGCACTAAAACCACTGCAGGAAGTAGAATCACAGATCAGGTCCAGGGAACCATTGGACACTGAGCTGAGGCCAGATCTCAACTTAAAGCTCCAGCTGCTTGTTTTAGTTTAACACGAAGATAAGGAAACTATCAAAATAGAGCTGATCCAAGTTAAAAACCTCTAAAGCTCAGTTTGTTCGGATTTGAACAAAGATTTTATGCTTTAAAAAGCAACAAAAAAAAAAAGACATGAATGAATAAAAATATCAGATTCTAGAGAAAGACAGAGAAAAGAAAAGCTAMCAGCCGAAGCAGTTTTTATAAAAGGCATAGATTAAAAAAAATTTAAACAAAAACTTTAAATTACTGAATCTTTTGAGCAGCATACAGAGCTGAACACTGGCAGGTCCACTACAAGACACAAAGTTTCTACAATTAAAAACATAAAAACTACAAGCAGCTCTTTAGTTATTCGTCACAAACTTAAAATGGACGCAAAGACCTAGAAGCAACCTGAGCCCAGGTGTTTGATTATATACATCACCCAGTAGTGTTTCAAATGCAGATTAAATGTAACAAATTAAAATACAGCTTCAACTAATTTCCTGTTTTGATTCAGCGTTGTAGATAAACTGATTGTAATCCAGCTTCTGTTCTCATTCATAAAAAGTCAACCATCTGAATAGGAAGTAAACTGGCCTTAAGGCAAAAGTAATTCCACACACGCACTTACAGCCCGTGTTAGCAGCTGCTCGCAGAGGTGTCAGTTTTCCTTCAGTAGCTGCTTCATCTGGAAACAACTGCAGCTGCTCAACATTAAACATGTGAACGTGAGTCAGAGCCGAGGCTCCTGCAGGTCGGCGTGTTGGCAACACGATGGCTTCTTTGTTTCGTCCTCGTAAAGGTGCAGCAGGTAATGTGAGGCACGGTGGGGGGCGGGGCCATGGCTACAGGTCTGCTACAGACAAAAACTGGGGTAAAGACAAGTCCTTCAGGGAAAAATGTAGTAAAAAAATAAAAAGGTCAGCTTTGGTGTTGAACTAAGTCCACAGTTCTACAGCTGGACAGTGTGTGGGCGATGAGCACGTTGAGGGGTGAAGATGGTCAGTGAGTCTTTAACTTGGTCTGCTTGGAGCCTGTTTCTGTTAGGCTGGCTCTGATAGAGTTAACCACTGTCTGTCGGACGTTCCCCTCCATATAATGTTCGATTTGTGACTTCAGAACCTGCAGCAGAAAAAAAAAAAGAATTATCTTCATACTGTCTGAAACAGACAAAAATGTTAGTTCAAACAATATTTAGAGAGAAAAAAACAGCCCCAGTTTGTCTGAAACAAAGACAAACTATGAGTTTAAAAAGAAAACAAACATTTAAGGAACACAAAATGGGTTTTTTTTTTTTTTTGCACAAAAGTTATCCCCAAACCTTCTAGAAGAAACAAACTGAACAAGTTCAAGAAGAAAAACATCTAAAGAACAAAACTGATGCTTTCCTCCATAAAATACTGGTTTTACTGGCCTCAATCTGTAGGAGAAAATAAACAAACAGCAGACAACAGGATTTTAAGCAAAAACAATTTTCTTACACTATCCAAGACAAAAAGGCAGAAATGAAAAAAACAACAAAAAAACCCCCCACAAATTATAGACAGAACAAAACCAGGATGCAGCCTCCAACACGCTAAACAAAAACTACCCAAACACAAAAATCAAAATAAATAACACAAACATCCTCTCACTACTTATTTGGACAAGATAACTGAAGAATTTGCCTTTATCTCCTRCAGATCTGCAAAGATTCCACAGGAGAAATGAATTTAACTCAGTAAATAGTTGCTCTTCTTGTAGTTATTGAAGCTGTTGATTGTTTCTCCTGATGGGAGCAAAGGCAGGAGAGGGATGGACCATGCCAGGCGACTGCTGAAGGGGTCCAAAAGTTTTGAAAAGACCTGCGAGGACGGCAGGGAGGAAGAGTTAAAGAGGAAGACGGGAGCAGAGATCTGGGAACAAGTTATAATAAAGAAACATCTAATTCTAAACAGCAAAAGAAATGCAGAAAGAAAAGAAAATTATGCAGAAAACTGGAGAAACAGGAACGCCTCACCGTCCTCTGAAAGCAGGAAAAGAAACAGTGAAGAAGCAACAGGAGGTGGGGACACGCGTGAAACTCTTTATACTTGTTTTTTATTGGTTCTCTTCAGTTACAGCGTGATGGCGTAACAACTGTTTCAGTGAAGGGAGATCTGACATGAACCTAGGATGGACTTGGGAAGACGATCATAAACAGACTGCTGATAACACATGGAGTCATGAGCTGCGGACAGAATGTAGTTCAGACTTCAAGTAAAACTTTGAATTATTAGGATCATGAGCCGTCATAAAAGCTCAGGATTACCAGTGAAGACATGAAGAAACAGCTGGATTTTTGACAGATTATGGAAACAGTAACGTGTCTGTGATGCAGTAAAAGTGTTACCTCTGGTGCTGCTTTTTAATAATGCAAAGCCATTAAACAATTAATTTTTATAGATTAGACAAACTTTAAATACACTTTGTGTTTTTCAGGCATATAGTTCAATTCTATACCATAATAAAATAACTATGTCACCTTTAGTTGTTATTAAAATGCTGTTTATACTGCATGTATAAATYAAAAATAAACTTCTCATCACAGCCGTTTCAAAACACCTTGAAATTGGCCTCTGTCTCTTTAAGAAGCTCCTGCCACTTCCACCAGGCCCATTTCTGCACGTCATCACAACAGCTTTACACCATTTACAACCTGTAGTGTTGTAGCCTATTTTGTTATAATAATAATTTTAAAAAGCTGCAACATTTTATAATATTGGTTTTGGAAAATGTGTAACTCAGCATAAAAACAACATTTTATTGTCAGACTGAAAGTATGTTTTCTGAAGATGGTTGTACTTTCGGGTGTCCTGATCAGATATTGATATCGGTCCGATGTCAGCCAAAAAACAACTATCGGATTTTATCGTCCTGCAAATAAAATCTGACAAATAAGCACTCTGATGGAAGCAGTCCGCTCCAGCTTCTCTGTCCAGCAGCGCTTGAATCCAGCATGCAGAACCCACGTGATCACAACAACATGCTGCACTAACAAGTAGCAAGAATTAGGAGCTATTAGCTATTAACTCCTAACTTAGGAGTTATTAGTGATGTTAAATCTGTTTACACACTTGTTTTAGTGAAGATTAAGTGCAATGATCAGGTTGTTTTGGGCACAGTCAGTAAAACTGGAGCTGTGGACTCTTAATTTTGAACAGCTGGACAATGGACATGTATGTGGGGTTTTGTTTTGTCCCCACCTTCAGTTATTCCCACCATAAAGCAGCACCAGGCTGACAGATAGAAAAAAAAATAACTGGAGTGATTTTTTGAATTGTTATTTTACACTTTAAAAGTGCATTTAGTTTTTTTATGTTTTATTTTACAGGGTCTTCTAATTTATTTTATTCAATTGTAAAATGTTCTTCAGTTTAAAATGTATGTGATCCATTGGTTAAAAAGAAATCTACTCTTTTTCACTGTGACTTGATCAAGACTTTTCTAAGACTTCACACAACAAAATAGGTAAAAGTGTGTGATTCATACTGTTGGGTCAATATCGGTATCGGACAATTCTCAAAGCTGCAATATCTGTATCGTATCGGAAGTTGTATCGGGACACCCCTAGTTGTACTTGTACGTTTCTTATAAACCTGGATAAAAAAGTAGTAAAAAAGTCATAGAAATAAAACAATCAAAACATGAAAAAAACACCTTCACCACTGATTACTAACCTCTTCCCAGAGTGCATCAGCCAGCAGGTCTATCATCTCTCCGGCTTCCAGAAACTCTCCGTAATACTTGACGTATCCCCAGACGCACAGCAGCAGCAGCGCCACGCTCGTCACCAGATTGGCCAGGAAAGCCAGAGTGCTCAGGCCCACAAAGCCCATTATGCCGGAGATCATGTAGGTGACGAACATGACCACGAACAGCATGGCGGGAGTGCGCGCCACGTAGAAGATRTTTTTGCCGTCGTTCTGCTTGGCGAAGTTGACGTAGGCCTGGTCCAGCTCGGACTCCAGCTGCGTTTGGTAGCGTTGGCAGAACTCTTCGCCTCCCATCTTCTTCACGGAGCGGAATAAGGTCACAGATTCGTCGCGCAGCTCCTTGTGGCGGCACTCCAGGTCAGCAGGCGCCATGTAGGGCCGGCCCCCTCCGCAAACCTGCTCGGACAAACAGCAGAGGGTGAGTGAGCCTGATTTCACACGCATTTCAATCCAAATACGACGTTTTATGTACGTTTATTACAGCACAACTTATGTTTTACAAGTTGTTCTTGCAGTGTTTTAAACCACAACGTATTTGGAAATCAAACATATAATTAACTCTTTTATAGGCACATCTAAATGAAGACTGAAGACTAATACCTGTACTTTTAATAGAAAAATCCACTATTGTTGCATCTTTCTTGTATAAAAAGGGATTGTAGTTGTGCCAGCATGTTTACTTTCTGCTTTCCTGAAAACTCCGCCTCCTTACCTTCTCCATGTTTTTGCTGTATGTCTCTTTGGCTCTTGCCACAGCCGTCAGATTGTTGGCCTCGGCTGTCGCCTGAGAAGCAGAAGACGGTATTAAAAAATGTTTTTTTAGGGTACAGAATCAGGTCTGGCATCTTTCTGCTGAAATAATCACAACTCACTGAGGAAAAATAAAATAAATGGATGCATGTCAGATATTCGACAGAAACTGAAGGGCTCGACACACGGGCAGCGACAAATTACAGCGATTAACGGCTGTCATCGCAGCCAGGGTGAAACCAGACACACGGGCCGTGATAGCGATCGCAGCGTTGCGAATCACGCTCTCAGGTCGCTTGTCTTCACGAAATTTGATTGGTTCTTGTCTCTGAAGGTGGGTGTGCATTACRGACATGTAAACTAAACAAATCTTGCGATGCTAATGATATTGAAAAACAAACACACACCAAGATACAGTTTTATGAGGAAAAACTTACCATAAACTTCACCCTGGTGCCAATAAATTCCCACAAAGCTTTTTAGTAATCACTTGDTGAAAGYGTTAGCTAACKGCAGTGTGTAGCATACTCTCCTCTCATTGGTCAGTCAATGAAACCTTCGCTGATTGGTTGTACGCTAAGCGACAGCGACAAAAGTTGAACATTTTTCAACTTTCATATGTCGCGTCGCAAGCTCGCGTGTGCACGTCTACGTGTACGAGCGTGAAACTTCACATGCACTATTTTCGCCGGTCGCTTAGCTGGAGGAGGGCAAGCGATTGTCGCCTCATCGCACAGGCTCCAGAGGAAATGAATGGAGAGCGAGCGACGTCGCCTCCCGTGTGTCGAGCCCTTGATGCATCCTTTATACCATCATAGATGCTGGAATTGCTGACTTCAACCTGGATGAATATTCTTATAATTTTGCACATAGAAACACATGATCACCATCTTTCTGTATGTCTGAGATGAGTTTATACCCAAAGAACTCAGCAGCTACTGACGCCCATCTTGGAAGATATAGTTATGGTACTAGTTACATTTCTAGATGCAGAGATGGATTGTGTTGAGAATTATTTTCTAAGGTGCTACTAAGACTTGCATGCATCAGACAGCAACTTATAGCCTTGACCTTTAAACACTGATTTTCTTTAAGAATCCCTGAGTCTTTTCATATTCTTAGTAAATAATAAAAGATTCTCTAGAATCTGAGAATTTTTTTTCCAACAAGCCACAACCTATCCTTGATTGGAAAAACTGAGCAGGTGATGTTTTTGCTCACTCCTATAATTTTACTAGTCTCTAATTAATCTGCTGCATGTACTCTTCAGAACATTCAAACCTCTTCATAAATCACAAATCCATTCTTTTCAAAAACTGACCAGCAGCATAGACTTCGGGTGAGGGAGCTCATCGCCTTGGTAGATCTTGATGTAGGACTGCAGGAGTGAAAAACAGATAAGTTACTTTTTATTACACAAACTTCAGTCACACGGCCGGTGTTTTCTTTTAATATTAAGGTTTTCACAAACAAATGCRAAAATGTAATTTATTGTTAATATCAGTTACTGCACTGAGGATTTTGAAAGCCAGGCTTTACAAAACAAACTGAGCTATARCTGATTGAGACATAAATGTTTACTGGTAACTATTAAAAAAACAGTTTTTGTTYATCAAAGCACTGAAATGTGTTTCAACGCTGCAGCACCTTGAAATACTCCACAAGTTCTCCACAGGTGACTTTCTTCCCGGCAATCTCCTTTTCTACCAATCGATCCGGGGACAGGAGGAGAGGGATCAGCTCTGCCAGCTCTGTTTTRAAATCAGCCTGTATGTCTGAAAGGTACAAAAACATAAGTTACATTTCTGGCATGTGGGATTTAAGCTGGCTTGCCAACAGCATTAAGTACAGGTGTGGTGTTTTGGCCTCACCTCTCAGCCTGCCATCAAAGTTCCTGTTTGTGGCCACATTCAGGCCAGGATGTGGCAGCAGGAAGCAGCTGATGGTGGAGAAGCAGGAATGAACGTGCTTCCTCACATTCTGCAGCTCTTCGTGTTGTTTTTCTCTAACCTGCGATGGGTCAAACAGCTCAGATGTGAGCTTCTTTTTGTTTAACTTGTTATTGTCTCATTGTGTCAGCTCAACTTTAACTGGATATCACCTCGAGCTTTTTATCCAGGAAAGCATTTCCTCCTTCCAGTCCATACTCATAATCATAAGGATAACACCAGTCTCGAATCAGAAACATTAGGGACTGAAACATAAAAACATAATGTAAAGAAAATGAGTTGTAATTTCTTTGTTTGACTCGCTTTACTGGTTTAAAACTTTCCTGATTCTAAAGCAGCCATGTTTGCTGATCAGACTCCCATTAATCGAACCAAAGATTGGTAAATGATCCAGCAATATTAAAATAAATCACTTCTCTCAGGTCTGTTTCTCATTCACATAGACAAACAGGATTTAGACACAAGAACTAAGAAAACCCAGACCTCTGAAGCTCTACATGTAAAAGACTTAAAATCATCAGAAACAGGCAGTACCTGAAAAGGTTTCAGGTGAATATCTTCCATTGCCARGCGGCCGTATTCTGTGAAGAGCTTTAGAGAAAAAAAATAATAAACCAAAATCATCATAAAACATTAAGCAATTTAACATCTCATTGAGAACACAAACCTGCAGATGCTGCAGATCATCCTCCTGTATGTTCTGTGAAAGGTTGAACACCTGAAAAAATAAAAACAACAACAATGTAAGAATAAATCCATATGTAAACGTCAAATAGAAAGTTAAAGTTTAAAAACAAAACAAAAAAACATGTTTAAAAGTCACCTGAACGGAGCTGGTCATTGTGCTGAGGGCGAACACGGTGGCAGAGTCCTTGATGGTGGACTGGCTGTCGAATGCTCCCTGAGTGTCAACGAGGAGCACAGCAACCTGCACACAGCAGCAGGGGGGAGATTGTGCTTTGTTACAGATCATTAACAAACAAAGATATTCGGCTACATTCACATTGCATGTATAAGTGACCCAAACAAGTTTTCAGTTTATTCAAATYTGACACCGTTCTTTTTCATATGTGGACCTAAATCAGATAATCCACTATTTTCAAAGCAACTGTCATCTGAACAGTTTTGTTGAATTCACCTGGCTTATCATCTGGCCGAGGTAAGAATATATGGATCGATTCAAATATTGATATTTCTGATACCAACATCATGTAGTTTAAAGCTTAGAGCTCTGCACATCTTCAGCTAAAAATCACAAGTATAGATCTGTTTTAAACATTTGTCATGTCCTGAACGACTGAGAATTTACACCAACTTATGAAACTAATAATGTTGTCAGACTGCATCGATACTAGCAGGATCAATACTTGAGTTTATCTCCTTGACTTTCAGGTTMAACTATGCAAATAAACATAATAAATTTTGATTTTTGATCAGGTTAAGACCTGCAGTTTGAACGTAGACGTTCATGATCAACCTACTTTGCTGCCATCTGGCTTGTCGACCACAAACACTTCATTCCAGAGCAGGATTCCTGTGGTCTCCCTCTCGCAGCCTCCTCTCCAGCTGAACCCCGTCAGCGGATCATCATCGCCTCCCATCCATGTGTCACTGTGCTGCAGGAGAGGGGGAAAAAATAACAAAGATAGGGATTTGCTAAGATGTAAAGTCTCATTTAATAATACTAATTAATAAATTTCACTTTTGTGAGCATCCATCCACAGTGAGTGCACTTTTTGGACAAAGACAATTTATCCTGGCATCAACTAGTAAAATACTGACAAAAATATAAATCTTGACCTGTTTTTTTGTTTTGTTTTACATTTGTTACAATGTTTTTCTCTTTCAAGGTGCTTACAGGAGCCAGTTTAATTAGATCACTATGTAACAAGAAATCAGCAAAAAAAAAAAAAGATGCGGAAAAAAACTTTAAATCATCTTATTTTTCATCTTCCTCTAACAAAACAAAACTGTACCTTTTGTGTTTATCCCAGTGATTTGTGGCAAAAGCTGCTAATCAAACGTAGGAAATGGCATTTTTAAAGAAAGGACCAGATTAGCAAGTCAGAGTATATGATTGATTCTTGTTTAGGAGAATAATGCAGTGCAGCTCTGTTTCATTTCCCGATCTGACAACTAAGAATAATTTATTTTAAAGTAATTACCTGAGTTCTGATAATACACCCATCAATGACCACATTATAACTCCCTCAAAGCAAAGCTGTGAAAGTTGTCTGCACTTGTTAATAATACTTCTTGTAACATTAACGATTTTTCCATGAATCAAACGGCGTCAATGAAAGCGGGTAGAAACTTGCACAGAGATCTTAGTGTGGCACAACAGCTGAGAGACAGTTGTAAATCCACACGCCTCATTTTTTTCCCTCCAATGTTGTTGCGTCTTAGAGTCTGACTATAAAGTGATCCTGGGGGCCTCTGTGTTTTTGTTGTTGTTAAACTGCAGTCTGTGTGAGCTTGTGATTTTGCCTGGCTTATAAATTCAGTTATTTCACGGTTAGCATTATGGATCCAGTCATTGAAAAATTTGTATTTACAAAAAGGATGTTAAAGTTTCTTGTATGGTGAAACCAGTTCAAACCACTCTGATTTTTACCTGTGATCCACATCTTACATTTTAAACTCAGCAAGAATCTCAGGTAAGATGAACCCTTCTGCTGCCCTTGGGTTAAAATGACCAATATCTTAATACCAGAGGTCACGCAGGTTTCAGTAAGTTAAATTTAAGACCTTTTAAGACCATTAGGTATGACATTTAAGACCAAACTGACACATTAACAGAAACATTCAAATGGTCCCAGAAATTTTAACATAGAAACCTTTTATTGCTGTCATTTTAGCTATTAAAGAATATTTAATTTAATACAAGAACACTAAATTATGTTAATGAAACATTATCGATGAGACCTTCATATCGACTGCTGTGGACCACTTCCAACCGAGTGGAAAAATCAGTGATATCAAGCCAAGTCTCATTGAAAACACACATCCCCATGTTTAAATAACAAGCAGCGGACATGACTGAACTTCTTTGTTTTTTGGGCAGGTGAATAAGCTGCCGTATGCGGTGGGTTTTAGTGGCAAATAGGTCGAAAACATGGAAGTAAACTGTGCCATTTTTTTGCCTGCAGTTATCACAGGATTTGTAGTTGAACTGTGTACCATGACCAGCAGCAAACTTAGCACTTCATGACTACGGATCGCCTCAACCTCTGATTACTGTGCTTTGCTCCATTTATGCAGTCAAAGCTTCTCGGGAATGATTGAAAGTAAAAAATTAAGACTTGAAATTTTCAAATTTAAGACCTTGGATGAAAATCTGGGCATTTGAAAGTGTTTTTCGGGCCTAAAATTTTGATTTTCAAATAGACTTTTTGAGACCCAGCATGAACCCTGTAATACTAAGGTCTTGTGGGTCATGAGACCAGGGCAGCAGTAGGGTTAAACTGGAAGCGCTGGTTTTCCTCGTGGTCAACACATGAGTGCTAGCTGTAATCTCATCTGCTGCACTTGTTCACATAGACCACCTGTTTTTATAGCCTCTGCTGACAGCAAGAGTTACACAATAATAAACCTCAGAGGAAGGAGGAGCTGCTTGTGTGTTTACTCAGCACATGTAAACACATCCTCAGAAAGCACAAGTCAGAATTTAAAAATAGGTGAAACACTTATTGCTCTGATATTTTTTAAATGAGTCATCGTAAAAACTGAACTCAGGTAAACAGCTTTGGGTTTGAATGGATTTGAATTACGTTTTAAGCAAAATATGGAGACTTTCAAAATGCTCTGCCATGTTTAATTGTTAACAGAGATTTCCATTTAGATACCATAGCTGTGCTGCTCATATGGACTTTCTCCAATGTCACAGGTAAATTATTCAAAATGATTTGTTTTTATCCTAAATTAACCCTTAAAAGGTAGTATATGCACTAAGAACTTCTGCCTCACCAGATTGTTCATGTAGCGCAGCATGAAGTCCAGCAGGAAGGACTTGCCCTTGCGAAACGCTCCGGCCACAGACACAACCACCACATTCAGGTCCTTCACGTGATCCTGCAGCAGGATCTTCTCCAGCGCAGCCGTGTCCAGCTGAAACGTGTGCTCATCCAAATTGGCCAAAAGAATCGGGATGGGTCTGGCCTTCTCCTCTTCTATCACAGCCTGGCAACATAGGTTACAATCAATCAGAACTTACCGTCACATTAAGAGAATGTGACTAAACTGCTATTAAAGCTGATTTCAGAGAGGAAAAAAACCTAAAAGTTATTGCAACAAAGTATTAAAAGAGCACCGTTTTATTTTTACCCTGCAACTACTTTGTTCAAATAGTTTTCTACAAAAAAATAAAAATAAAAATCAAGCTGTAAGACAATAAGGGTTCGGGTTAGAGGTTAAAACTTCACCTTATCCTCCTCGATGCCTTCATCTGGTGAGGGAATTGGGCTGTCATTAAAGCCTGAGTTTACAGTCATTGGGTGGAGATGCAACTTTTCTTCACGGCCCTCAGACATCTTTAAAGGAAGCGTTTGTTTACGTGGAGGAAGGGGGACATCAGCCACGCCTTGAAAATCTTTAGAAAACAGGAAAAAAGTGGAAAGATTAAGGCTGTGTCTCAATTCATGGGCTGGGTCCTCATGAGGACCCAGCCTAGCTGGGCCACGTAGGCCACATCCTTGCTGGGCCGGGTAGGATGCTCAAAACTGCTGCGAAATGAGACGGTCYAGCCTTCGCCTGATGTCGGCTTCACGTGGGTTTGCGTGACCACATGCTCCCCCGTTACCATAGTGATCAGTTTCATGTCGGACTTAAAATGCTTCGGGACGTGCTTACACGTCTTTTACTTTAAGAATAAATTCACAGTTAAAAAGGTAAACGTAAATATAGAAAACAATAATTTGGGTTTAGCTCCAGTATCTACAACGGAGATAACATATTTTTTATTATTATTATTATTACGAAAATAAAGTCATAATATGCGAATAAAGTTGTAATATTATGAGAATAAAGTCAGTGTTTGGTGACCTTAAGAATGCTGGAACAATTTATTCATTTAGTAGAATG